TTTTCCCCCCAAAGGAAAGGAGCCTCAGCCCAGCCAGTGTCTCTCAGCTGGTTGGACATCATACCAGGCACCAAGAGGACCAGTTCATTAAAAGTCAGGGCACATGGCCTGGTAATGGGCTCATTCGCCAGTAGGGGGCGTGCAGGAGGCAGCAGATAGATGTTTCTCTCTCATTGTGGATGTTTCTCTCTCTCTCTCTCCCTTTGCCTCTGATTCTCTCTAAAAACAAACCATATGAAAAACATTGAAGGCCAAGAATGTGTGGAATTCTTGGTCTTGGTGGTGTGGTCTGTTGTGAGTTTACAAAAAAATCACTGCTGTCCTACAGACAGGACCCTGCACTGTGTGGACACACTGGGTGGTGTCCATAGGCCCCTAGGACTGCAGTTGGGTGAGAACAAAGAGAAAACGAAAGTCACAGGGACATGCAGGCAGAGCTATTCCCATGTAAATCCCCTGGTTGAGAAAGAACCTCACACACGTTTTCAATAAGTGATTAATTTAAAAATTAGGATCTTGGAGCCAATTTTTAACTTTATAAGGAAAGTTGGACAAGAACTAATTATGAAATTGAAACCATTCATGGGAATTGAGGGCATTAGCCTTTGAAATTTGATATCTACCCAGTGACCTCAGTCAACTACCTACTGGGTATTATCACTTAAATTCAGAGCCACACTTGGAAAGGGCTCATGATGCAGATTTAACCCCAAACAGCAGCCCTGGAAGATCTGCACTAACACATATCCGGGGAGCCCACCATGCTGTTACCAGTCACGGTCATCCTCACCCTGTGGGTCTCCTGGGCTCATGGACAAGGTGAGTTGAAACTGACGGGAATATTTAACTTCCTTCGTAGGTAGGACTTTCCCCCTTTTCATTTGTCTTTGATTTTTTTTTTAATCCTCACTGGAGGATATTTTTTCCATTGATCTTTAGAGAGTGAGTAGAAGGGAAGGAGAAGGGGGAGAGAGAGAAAGAGAGGCACTGGGAAACATTGATGTGAGAGAGACATATGGACTGGTTGCCTCCTACACATGCCCCAACTTGGGCATGGGATCCAACCTACAAAAAAATTATGTGCCCTTGACCGGGAACTGAAACAGGGACCCTTTTTCTATGGGCCACTGAGCCAACTGGCCAAGGCTGTCTGTAATATTTGAATGAATTGACTTGAAAACAAAATAATCCTTGGGAACTATCAGGGATTCTGCTGAGGAAGGGGGAGAATTTTAGGTGGAGATTGGGCCAGAGTGATGGCTGAAGCGATGCGGAACAGAGGACAGGTCTGGGATGCATTTTGGTGGTAGCAAACACAGGTAACATTACTGAATGTTAGGTATCAGAGTAATTGTCAAGGGACTCACATGTTTGTTTTAAACTAGAGGCCGGGTACACGAATTCATGCATGGGTGGGGTCCAGTCTCTCGGTCCCCATCTCGGCAATCAGGCCAGCCTGGGGGAGGGGCCTGATAAGGGATTGATTATGAATATTGACGGTTTACAGATTCATTTTGAATGTAAATAATTGATGTTTGGTTTACTAAACTTCAAGGAAAATGTTCAGAAAAACGATCTTTTTCTCTTTTTTTCTATTACGTCTTAAAATTCTTTTCTTGACGTTATTGGGGTGGCATTGGTTAATAATTGGTGGTGGGAAAAATGGACAGATACAAGCAGAAAAATGAAATTGGACCACCTTCTTACACCAAAAACAATAATAAATTAAAAATGGATTAAAGACTTAAATGTAAGGTGTGAAACGATAAAAATCCTAGGAGAATTCATAGGCAGTCAAATCTCAGACATTTCTCCCAGCACGATCTTGTCTGATATAGCTCCTCAAGCAAGGGAAACAAAAGAAAAAAAATAAGCAAATAGGACTACGTGAAACTAAAAACTTTTGCACGGCATCATCATCATTTTCTTTGGCCTAAAAATCTCTATTAACCTTAGAGAGAGGACTGGAAAGAAACTTAAGATATAGAAGCTTAACTCTTACCAAAAAAATTTTGCTTTGCCTTTTATATTCAGTCTTCCATGTAACATTATGAAGATTTTTAGTCAGAATTGCATCTATATGATCGCTGCAGTGGACATCTATTTTTCTCTTTATTCAGCTCTCTCCTGTGGCAGCCCTCCCACAGTGCAACACCCAAGCCCAAAAGGTGTGCTCTGCTTCCCTGGAGAGAAATGATCCTTTTATGTTTGTTTTGGGGAGTTCTTTTCTGTTCATTTTGGTTTTTTCCTTTTTTTTTTTCTTTATAAAGACTTTTTTTTTTTTTTAGTCTTTAGTTTTAGGTTCACAGAAAAATTAAGAAGGTACAGAGATTTCACATATATCCCTTGCCCCCATACATGCATGATCTTCTCTGTTGTGAACATCCCCTATAGGCTGGTACATTTGTCACAACGGATTGACACGTCATAATCACCCAAAGTTCACTCTTGGTGTTGTACATTCTATGGGTTTGGACAAATGTCTAGTAATAATGACATATATTTTCACTGTAGTATCGTACGGAGTAGATTTACTGGCCTAAAGATCCTCAGTGTTCCACTCAGCACTCCCGTCCCCCAACCCCTGACTATTCCAGAATTTACCAGGAGACTGAAAAATATACAGGAGTATCGGAGACACAGGAAAAAACCATTTATTTTCAGATGTTTCACATGTGCTAGTACAGTGACTCAGGGGAGACTGAGCAAACCAATATAGAGGAAGCTCTCCCGTTATACCCTTTGGTTTCTCTGTCCCCCAAATATGGGTGGGACTTCCGGACCTTTCACAGGCTTTGCAAAAAGCCCCATGTGTTGGATGGAGGCTGTGAGACCACACCTAAAGGCTTGGCCTGGTGCCAGTGCTGATAACCCCCTCTGGGGGTTGTGTATTGTTCATGGCTTATGGCTTCTGTAAAATGAGAGTATTTAGGTAAACAGGCCTTACAAGACCAGAGTGTGGAGAAAGGGGCAGTGACTTAATGACAGGATATCAAAAATGTGCATTAGGTTACTGGCACAGATTCAGATAGCTAGGCCCCCCAAAATGTCTTATTTTCCCCATCATGACAACCACTGATCTTTTTACTGTTTCCATAGTTTTGCCTTTTCCAGAATATCATATGCTGGACTCATACAGTTTGTAGCCTTTTCAGATGGCTTCTTTCGCTTAGCATTATGCATTTAAGGTTCCTCCTCGTCTTTACAGCTGGGTACCTAATTTCTTTTTAGCTCTGGATAATATTCTGCATGTATCACAGTGAATTGTCCATTAACCTACTGAATAACATCTTGGTTGCTTCCAAATTTTGTCAATTAAAAATAAGCTGCTATAGACAAAAAATAAATAAATAAAATCATAAAAATATATTTTTTCTTAAAAAAAAAAAAAGAAAGAAATAGTTGTAGCCATGGCTGGTGTGGCTCAGTTGATTGGGTGTCATCCCAAGTACCAAGAGATCGCTGTTTTGATCTAAGTCAGGGCACTTGCTGGGGTTGTGAGCATGATCCCCAGTAGGAGACATGCAGGAGACAGCCAATTGATCTCTCTCTCTCTCTCTCTCTCTCTCTCTCTCTCTCTCTCTCTCTCTCTCTCTCTCTCTCTCTCTCTCTCTCTCTCTCTCTCTCTCTCTCTCTCTCTCTCTCTCAAAATCAATAAACAATAAAAAAAAATTTAACTTAAGATATAGAAGCTTAACTCTTACCAAAAAAAATCGCTCTACTTTTTTTAATCATGCGTGTAAACTTATGAAGATTTTCAATCTCAAATGCATCTAAATGATCGCTGCATTAGAGATCCATTGTTTTCTCTTGGCCTCCCCTGTGGCAGCCCTCCCCCAGTGCAAAATGGCTTCATACCAAACCAGAAACCTAACTATGGACATGGGGACACAGCACGTTATGAATGCAGGCACCCTTTGGGCCTCATCGGGAAAGCAGAAGTGACATGTCTAAGTGGGAAGTGGACAGACCCACCTGAGTGCACGGGTAGGTGTCTCATTCTCCCCTCCCAGGCTCTGTGCAGCTTCTGTAACCACTCAGTTACTAGACTCCTGTGCAGCTGGCCTTCATTTGGTTACTCAGGTTTGTTGCTCTATCGTTTCCTATAAATCGGTTTGGGGCCGGGAGGAGGTGAGTGTAGCTCCCACCTACTCCGCAGCTACCTACATTCAGTAAGTCAAATATTATCCTCTCTTAGAGTCTAAAGGACAATGTGGGCCAGCTCCGTCTATGGAGACATTACCACATTCCCATCACCAGTGTATGCTCCTGGGATGTAGCCAGCCCCACATGGCTCAGTGGTTGATCATCAACCTATGAACTAGGAGGTGACAGTTCAAATCCCCAGTATGGGGTGTGCTGGAAGCAGTCCATTAGTGATTCCCTCTCATTAGTAATGTTTCTATCTCTCAATCCCTCTCTCTTCCCCACTGAAATAATTAAAAACATACTCAATTGAATATGTTTGATGTAATTATGGGAAACAGATTTGGACAGAAACAAAAAATATATGTACATAGTGAGTGTGGCCCGTGTGGACAAATAAAAATTTGGATGTTAGAAGTTTGGTCTGGATCATGACCTGTATGCCCATCTCCTCAGGCTTTCAATTCCACCGTCCCCACGTGACACCTTTAATAAATGTAAAATTATTCAATGTAATTGAATTTTCAACTTATAAGAAAAACATTATACAATAAGCATCAGTTTGGTGTGTATCTATTATTCTAAAATACAATTATTTGCCAACATGTACTTTTAAAGATTTACTGAAAACTCTATGTTGTTGCTTTTTCAGCAATGACTTGTCCTAGCCCACCCAGATATGACAACGCCATCCTCACAGGCCAGAAGAAGAACTCATATAAGTCAGGAGAACAAGTGACTTATCGATGTCCAAAATATTACCAAATGGAAGGATCCAATATTGTACAGTGTATGAATGGCAGGTGGATAGGAACACCCACATGCAAAGGTATTTTGGTGAATGGCTTCTGGCCATTAAAAATATGCAAAGGTATTTTGGTGAATGGCTTCTCCCATCATTAAAAAAATAGACTCAGGTTCTGGTGAGTGCTGATGAAGGAAGGTTTATGCCTCAGCAGAGAGGAACGGGATGTGCACTCAGTGCTGGGCATTGGGGCCCCAGAGCCCTCAGAGTGTGACCCCGGAAACAGCCGTGTCAGCGTCTCTTGGGAATAGTTGAAAGGCAAATACAGACTCACAGGCTCACTCAGACTCAGCATCAGAAGCTCAGGGGTTGTGACCCTGAAACCGTTGTAGCAATTCCCAGCAGGCTCTGCGCCCACTTTTGTGGGGAACCGTAGCTTCAGCCTCTTATTACTTTATATCCACCCGAGTCTCCCCAGTGAGCTGCACAGTGCTCACTGCAGTGCCCTTAAGCACTCACATTATTGGAGTATTTCTTGTAAATATATTTTACTCTTATTTTTCCTCAAGTTCTGTGTGAATCTTTTGATGTTTAATCTTTATTGTTGAAAGTATTACAAAAATCCATTTTTCTACCCATTGACCCCTTCTGTCCTGGCCCTGGCCACTCCCCAGTCTTTCACCCCCCTGTTGTTTGTGTCCATGGGTTATGCATGTATGCATACAAAGTCTTTGGTTGTCTCTTCCCACTCCGTCATCCCTCTGAGATTCCACAGTCTGTTGCTATTTGGATCTTTTAAGTGATGATCTTTTCATTCAATTATATGATATCCCTCAAAGCCTGTTAAGAAATAGAGTTCCTGTCTAAGAAAGAGGCTATTGTCGCTTATTTTCCAAGGGCCTAAAATAAACATTCAAAAACATGATGTTTGAGAAACACATTTTGATGACAAAAAAGGTATTTATGATGAATATCTAGGGTTTAGAAATTCATTTTGAATTTATATAATTGATGCTTGGTTTACTAAACTTAAAGGAAAATATTCAGAAAAGCTATCATTTTCTTTTTTCAATCACTTTATAAATTCATTTTAATTTTTATTGAATGTGTTGGGATGGCATTTGGTATTAAATAGTGCTGGGAAAATTGGACAGGCACAAGCAAAAAATATGAAATTAGACCACCTTCTTAGGCCAAAAACAAAAATAAACTCAAAATGGATTAAAGACTTAAATGTAAGGTGTGAAACCATAAAAATCCTAGAAGAAATCATAGGCAGTCAAATCTCAGATATTTCTCTCAGCACTGTATTTTCTGATATATCTCCTTGAGCAAGGGAAAGGAAAGAAAAAAATAGACTACGTCAAACTAAAAAGTTTTGCACAGCATAATCATCATTTTCATTGGCCTAAAAATGTCTATTAACCTTAGAGAGAGGATGGGAAATATATTTAAGATACAGAAGCTTAACACTTACCCAAAAAATTGCTTTATCTTTTTTCAGTCTTGCATGTAAACTTGTGAAGATTTTCAAGCTCAATTGCGTCTAAATGATCGCTACCTTAGAGATCCATTGTTTTCTATTTATTCAGATGTCTCCTGTGGCAGCCCTCCCTCAGTGCAAAATGCCTTTATACCAAACCAGAAGCCTAGGTATCAACATGGGGACATAGCGCATTATCAGTGCAGGCACCCTTTGGGCCTCCTTGGGAAAGCAGTGGTGATATGCTTAAGTGGGAAGTGGACAGACCCACCTGAGTGCAAGGGTGACTGTCTCATTCTCCCCTCCCAGTCTCTGTGCAGCTTCTGTAAGCACTTGGTTACTAGACTCCTGTCCAGCTGGCCTTCATTGGTTACTCAGGTTGATTGCTCTATCATTTCCTGTAAATCCGTTTGGGGCCGGGAGGCGGTGAGAGTAACTCCCACTACTCTGAAGCTCCCTTAAAATCAACTTCTCACTCAATAAACCAACAATATTCTCTCTTAGAGGCCACAGGACAATGTGGGCCCCCACCTGCTATTGACAATGGAGACATTACCACGTACCCATTAGCAGTCTACGCTCTCTGGTCTTCAGTGGAGTATCAATGCCAGGCCTCCTATCAACTTAAGGGAAACAGGAGAATAATGTGTCGTGATGGACAGTGGTCTGAGCCACCCAAATGCTTAGGTAAGTCCTTTAATATTCCTTTGGACTCTGAGAAAATCAGTTTTACTGATTATGATAAAATTTTGATGAATTAATAAACAATTCTAGCCCTAACCGGTTTGTTCAGTGGAAGAGCTTTGTTCTGAGACTGAAGGGTTCCAGGACTGATTCTGGTCAAGGGCACATGCACAGGTTGCAGGCTCCATTCCCATTGTGGGACGTGCTGGAGGCAGCCAGTCATGATTCCCTCTCATCATTGATGTTTCTATCTCTCATCCCTCTCCCGTCCCCACTGAAATCAATAAAAACATAGTCAATTGAATGTGTTCGTTGTAATTATGGGAAACAAATTTGGACAGAACCCAAAATATATGTACATAGTGTCTGTGGCCCGTGTGGACAAATAAGAATTTGGATGTAAGAAGTTTGGTCTGGATCATGACCTGTATGCCCATCTCCTCAGGCTTTCAATTCCACCGTCCCCACGTGACTGCTTTAATAAATGTAAAATTATTCAATGTAATTGAGTCAAGATGTGCTGGGGTCCAAACCCAGCAGGTCCAGGGGTCCCCAAATGTGTCGACGGAGTCGGCGAAGAAGGAATGACATGGAGACAGCATTCAGTTGATAAGCAGCATTGCC